CACCTTCCCAGCGCCAAGTGCTCTATCATTTTGAGCCACAGCACCACCTCTGGTTTTCTGGTGGTTAATTGTAGATAAGAGTCTCACAGACTTTCCTGCCCAGGTTGGCTTTGAACCACGATCCTCAGATCTTAGCCTCTGGAGTAGCTAGGGTGACAGGCATGAGCCACCGGTGCCCAGCTCTATTTTTAGATTTAAAGAAGATTCACCTGTGGTGTGTGTTGTGAACACACACATTACTTATCGATGGCCCTCTAAGACAATAGAGTGGGTAAAGTTCCATAAATGTTTCAGCACCTCTGCATTTGCTTCTAATGACTTCCTGAGTGGAGTGATAAGTCATTCTGCCAGTTTCTCAGCAACACTTAAGCACTGCTTTTGGCGGCCCTACGCCACTGAGCACGGAGAGACCAAATGGTACGGACTGAAGGAAACCTGCCCACGATGCTGTGAATGAATGAATCTACACCAATCACTCTGAACACCAGTTTTATCCTGAGGAAAGTGGGATTTCGTGAGTGTGTGTGTGGGTGTGTGTGCGTGTGTGTGCGCGCATATCACCACACATATCTAGTTTGGTGGGAAGGGTAGCTTCCTTCCTGTTTTGCAGTTCTTTGGCTCAAAGCCTCAGGAGCTCTACTAGCAACACTAGTAAAGAACTATTCCAGGCACGTTGTACATGTCTACTGTCCCGCCACTGAGAAGACAGAGCAGGGAGCATCTAGTGGGTACTAGATAGGGTTATCCAAAGAAAGAAAGAAAGAAGGAAGGAAGGGAGGGAGGGAGGGAGGGAGGGAGGGAGGGAGGAAGGGAGGGAGGAAAGACTATAAGGAAGAAAAGAGCCACATGCCGGTGGCTCATGCCTGTCATCCAGCTACTCAGGAAGCTGAGACTGAGGATCACAGTTGGAAGCCAGCTTGGTAGGAAAGTCTGTGAGACTCATCTCCAATTAGGCACCAAATAAGCAAGAAATGGAGTTGTGTGTGGTTCAAGTGGTAGAACACTAGCCTTGAGCACAAAAGTTCAGGAACAGTGCTTAGGTCCTGAGTTCAAGCCCCAGGACTGACCTAGGAAAAAAGAAAAGAGAGAGAAAGAAGGGAGGGAGAAGGGAGAGATTGAGGAAGGAAAGAAGGAAGGAGGAAAGAGGAGGAAGAAAAGGAAGGAAGGAAAGAAAAAGGGAAAGAACTCATGCCTACAATTCTACTATTCAAGAGGCTCAGATCTGAGGATAATTCTTCGAAGCTAGCCAGGGGGAGACAAGTCTGCAATGCTCTTATTTCAAAACCAGCAAAAACCAGAAGTAGTGGTATGGATCAAGTGGTAGAGCACCCACCATAAATGAATGAGTGCTTAAGGTTGTGATTTTGGTAAAAGCAGTTTCGGTGGGCTTCTGGAAATATATAGACTCTAGATGGTCAGCTCTCCCTAGAAGATGAGCTGTGAAGGAAATGAGTGATGCTAGATGTGAAGGATAAAGAAATAATATGGGAGGGGCTGGGAAGGTGGCTCAGTGGTAGAGCACTTGCCTTGCATGCTCAAGGCCCTGGGTTCGATTCCTCAGCACCACATAAGAAAAAAGCCAGAAGTGGCGCTGTGGCTCAAGTGGTAGAGCGCTAGCCTTGAGCTGAAGAGCTGAGGGACAGCGCCCAGGCCCAGAGTTCAGGCCCCACGAAAAAAAAAAAAGAAAAAGAAAAAGAAAGAATATGGGTTCTGAGTTGTGGTTCAAGTAGTAGAACATCTGCTTAGTAAGCATGAGGCCCTGAGTTCAAACCCCAATACTGCAAAAGAAGTCATTTTTGTTGTTGATTTTAAGGAGGGGGATATTTGTTTTTGAGGTGGGGTCTCACCCTGTTGCCCAGGCTGTTTTATTGAACTCTTCAGTCTCCTACTTCGGTCTCTGAAATAGCCGAGACTGAAGGCGTACACCGCCATACCCAGCACGTGATAGGAGAGATTTGAAATGTGCTTATAGGAAGAAATAGTTTATTTTGTGGGATGTATATATGGAGTGAAATAACTTGTCAAACACATGCTTCCTATAAACCAGGTAGATATGCCACATAAAATTAAGCAAACATCCTTTAAGATACACACAGTCAAGTTGCAAAAAAAAAAAAAAAAAAAGCAAGTTCCTGAAAGCACACAAGAAGAGGAAATGGAAAACCGACTGAGTTGTTGTTTGGTTCTTGGTTATAAAGAGGCGTTGGATTTTTGCACCCACCCAGAGATGGGAAATGAGGCATAAAGACTTTATTCATCTCCCCCTGAGAACTGATGCTAACAAGACATGACCCCCTCAGAATTTATATCCAAAAGTTGGCCTCCGTTTGAATTTGCAGTTCAAATTATGCCATCTCAATGGAATGGGAAACCCAAATAAAATTAATCATGTGGTTTAAGGTTGATAATAGTTCTGAAATACCCTTGGGAGAAGCAGCCTCAGACTCTTAGAAAGACATGAAGTAACTTAGTACATTTCCACTACTGTAAGGAAATGCCTGACACAATTAACTGATAAAGAGAAAAGGGTTAGTTGTGGTTTTGTTTGTTGTTATTTTGTTTTGTTGATATGGGAACTCAGGGCTTCAGCTTCTCCCTTCACTTTTCTGATTAAGGGCAAGACTCTACCACTTGAGCCACTCCTCCCCTTCCAGCTTTTTGCTGGCTAATTGGTGCTGAGTCTCAAGATTTTTTTTTTCTTTTCCAGTCTGGCTTTGAACTAGGATCCCCAGATCTAAGCCTCCTGAGTGTACACTTCTTCACCCCGATTTTGGGTTGACAGCCTTCGCCCTGGGTCCTTCACCAGCGAGGCCTGGCCACAGTTGTTTATTCCCATGGGCCCGGGCTGCATCAGCAATGGAATCCAGATGCTAGTCCTGGGCTCACGCTGCTTCTAGGGGATAATTGCAACCTGCCAGCTATAGAATGCATTGTCTCTGCTCTGGGATGTTTCCCCTGGCTACATGACAACCATTGACTTTGCTACGTGCTACATATAGAATGTATTGTCTCTGCCATCGTTTTCCCTGGCTGTGAGCCAGCTATGGAATGTCCTGCCCTGGCTGTCTGATATCTCCAGTGTCCAGCTGGGCCTACAAAGATTTCTGGCCCCAGACCCTTCTTCTGCCCTGACTTCTGACACTATCGCTACCTCTAAGACTGTGAGAGCAGTTGGCTCCTCTCTGTCCCACGAGAGATACCCTGACAGTCTCTAGCTGACATTAAATGCTTCTTCTACATGACTGTGTGTCCAGGTGGTTTTCTGGGTTGGTGCTGACGCTGAGTAGCTTTCCATGTGAGCCATCAGCACTTAACCTCTTTCATCTTTTAAATCAGCTATTGCCATGAAGCCCAGATTGGCCTGGACTCTCAACCCTCTTGCCTCTGCCTCCCCAGTGCTAGAATTAGAAGTGTGTACTGTACCCAGTTTATCCTTTTTGTTTTGTTTTTTTTTTGTCAATCATGGGGCTTGCACTCAGGGCCTGAGTGCTGTCACTGAGCTTTTTCATTCAAGGCTAGCACTCTACCAGTTTGAGCCACAGCACCACTTCCCATTTTCTAGTGGTTAATTGGAGGTGGCTTTGAACAGTGATCCGCAGACCTCAGCCTCCTGAGTAGCTAGGATTATAGACATGAGCCACCGGCACCTGGCTTCATCCTTTTTGAATAAACAAACAAACAACAACAAAAAACACCCAGAGTCTACGGTGAATACTTCCAGCAGGCAGTGTCTACTAAGAACATAATAAACGTTGTCTATGTTGTATTTGTCTTTATTATTTCATTTGTATATTTGCTCCTGTCTACATCATATTTATTTCCATATTACACCTTTTATTTATGGAAAGTGATACCGATTTTCCATGCATAGAAGTAAAGCAGAGATTCCCTTCAAAATAAATTTATTAAGCAAATAGCCAACATAAAGAAATATATAATGTAAATAACAATATAGGTGGTAAACAAATGTGGCAAATTACCTTATATTTATGACTAAAGTTTGGGAAATCAGAAACCCACAGAATGGAAACCCCTTCCCCTAGCTCCTCTCTTAAAATGGGAGTGCAGATATTTGTGCTGCATTTCTATAGGGTAGATCATTACAAGCAAAACCTGCTTCAATTGAGCACTGCTTAGCTACATTTATAACCTTAGCTACTCAAGAGATTGAGAACTGGCTCTTCTCTCCATTAGCCAGCAAAAAAGCAACAAGTGGAGTTGTGGTTCAACTGGTAAAGTATTAACCTTGATCAGAAAAAGCCAAGGTAGAGTGTGATCAGAAAAAACAAAACTGAGCCAAACGCCAGTGGCTCACGCCTGTAATCCTAACTACTTGAGAAGCTGAGACTTGAGGATTGTAGTTCAAAGCCAGACTAGGCAGGAATGTTTATCAGACTCTTATCTCCAAAAACCATCCAAAAGCTGGAAGTAGAGTTGTTGCTCGTGTTAGAACACTGGCCTTAAGTGAAAGAGTTAAGTGGACAGTGCCTGGATCCTAAGTTCAAGCCCCAGGACTGGCACAAGATACAAAAAAGAAAGCCAACTTTCCTGTCTGGTCAAATGCCCCATCTAGAAGCTTCCCTTCCCTGGAACTAAGGTCTTTTCCATACTGAATCAATCTCTGGCCTAAGCTTTCCTCACCGTGAATGGTAAGATCTAGAAGGCAGAAGTGTGTGCTCCTTTAAGCAGATAGATGGAAGAGCCTGCTGGTCTTTGATTCCAGATGAAAACCAGAGGCATAAAAAAAGGCCCAGCCAGCCGCACTCAGCAAGTCCTTGCGGCCATTTGGGTCAAAGCCAAGGTTCATTTGTAAAGGCTCCTTAGCAGCTGGGTGCGGGTGGCTCATGCCTGTAATTCTAGCTACTCAGGAGGCTGAGAGATCGGAGGATGGAGGTACAAAGCCAGCCCAAGCAGACAAAGCTGAGCAATTCTTACCTCTAATTAACTAGCAGAAGGCCAGAAGTGGAGGTGTGGCTGACGTAACAGAGCACCAGCCTTGAGCAAACTAGCCAAACAAGAGCATGAGGCCCAAAGTTTAAGCCCTGGTACGTGCTTGCGCGTGCATGCATGCACAGAGAGGCACAGAGGCTCCTCTGCCTACTCTTGCCCTTTGTGTGTATTTTCCTGGAGAACCAACCTCTCAGTGGCCCTGGTGAGTGGCAGGATGAACAGCTAGGGAGAGACAAGAACTGCAGCTCTGGAAAGCTGGATTCCTGCCATCTCCTGCCAACACTGCTGACACCTGTCCCCACCAGATAATCTGGGCAACATCCCAGGGATGCTTTCACTGTGATAAGGGCAACTTAGCTACCTGTGGATGGAAGGTAGAAGATGGTGGATTAGATGTGCTTTCCTGCCGGTCTGGATACATTTTCTCACTTGGGCATTCTGCTGTGATTTCTGGCATGGAGTCTGCTTTGTCTCTGGCCCTGTGAGCCGCAGCCTGAGTAACTGAACCGAGGCTCTGCTGGGCGGTTTCTTGGAGTCCAGGCTGATGCACACTCAAGGTTGCTCACCGTGCAGGGCCAGCAGAATGGCAATCCAGGCCTAAGAGGCCTGGCAGGTGCATCAAACCTCCAGATCCACTTGAAGGCTGCAGCCTAGAAGTTTCTGTGCAGTGAAGCCCTCTCTAGAAAGAAATCTCTGGGCAGCCAGTCCTGGAGACCCTGGGTTCAGAACCCCACGCTGGTCCGGCCTTCTCGCTTCCAGAACTGCGAGATCTGCTCCAGGGTGACCCGAGGCTGCAGACTCCAATCAGGCTCGGGGCTGCCCGGCCTTTGCCTCCAGGCCTGGGGGGGCTCGTGCGTCCCACTGGCCTCTGGTCTCAATTCAGGCCCGATCCAGCTCACCAGGCCCGTGGTGGTGGGGGTCTCCTCCCAGAGCTGGGGTTCCCCGAAGGTGCCTCTGCAGACTGGCCCTCCCAAATTGCCGGGAGCAGGGTGTGGGGCTGAAGGAGGAGGGTGGGCAGTAGCTCGGGCCTCCATGGAGGCCCCGGGGGCAGGAGGCTCCAGACCCCTGTCCATCAGCAGGGGCACCGCAGAGCCGTACCAGTCCTCCGAGCGCTCTCGGGCGGTGCTCGTGGGTTCGATCCACAGCTCTCCTCCGGGGCGCCACACCAGGGTGGGCGCGCGCTGGTGGGGATCGGGGCGCAGCGAGCGGCGGAACAGACGTTCGGCCAGCACAGCCGTGGTCACGATGAAGAAGGCGGCCAGGGAGGCCAGGGCCAGCATGATGGGGATGCAGGGCCCGCAGGGGAGCGGGGGCCACAAGGCTGCCTCGGACATGGGGAGATCTTCCGTGTACCCCAAGGGCTGCTCTGGAGTCAAAGGCATCTGGGAGACACAAGATGGGGAGGGGAGAGGAAGCAGCTAAGGCACACATGCATTGTGTTTGGAGGGGCAGGAGGGAGCCCCCCCCCCAAGTGTTCAGCAAGCATGAGCACCAAACCAGTGGCTCACTCCCATCATCCTAGCTACTCAGGAGGCTGAGATCTGAGGATCATGGTTTGAAACCAGCCCAGGCAGGAAAGTCGATGAGACTCTTATCTCCGATTAACCACAAAAAAAGCTGGAAATGGAGCTGTGGTTCCAGTGGTAGAGCACCAGGCTTGGGTGAAAATGGGAGAGCACCCAGGCCTAGCATTGAAGCCCCATTGCTGGCATGCATACACCCTCAAAAAAAAAAGCAAAAAAGAAAGCACAAGAGAGTCGGGGTGCATGGGATTCAGACACAGGGGCCAAATGGATCCAAGAGGAGGGAAAGTGTAGCCAGAAGCCAGGCAGAACGGGCTGGGGCCTGGAGCTGGGCCCCTCCGAAGGCCTCTCCGGCCACCCCACCCCGGGTGCCTGCGACAAAAAGCTCCACAGCGGCCCCCTCGATCTTAGCTTAAGGAGGAAGTGGGAAAGAGAAGAAATGAGAAGAAACGTCTCCTTCGAGTCCCTTCCTGTATGTGTACCCCTTCTCCTGATACCCCTGCCGGCCTTCTACTGGGCCTTCTTCTCCCCTTCACCTCTTCCTGATTTCTAGAATTCACTGCAGCTCTGCCAGATCTCAGGGGCCACCGCGGCATGGTCCCTATCTCAGTCTCCTGTCCCTGCCCACCTTCCTCCGGCCTCAGAAGTCCTCTCATGGGTGGGGTCTCTGTACCCCTCACCTCACCTTGGATCAGTCCCTGGCTCTCCCTTCAGAGTGCCTCTTCCCAGTGCACAGCGGGGTGGCTGGCTGAGGGCTAGTCTCAAATGAGGGCCGGAAGGGTGGCTACCACCTGTTGCTAGGCAACGGCACCCCAGCGCCTCCTGCCCTCAGTAGAGCGTCTCCAAGTCAATCTGGGGGTGGGATGTGGTCACTGTGGTGAGGAACCATTTCCTGGGTAAGGTGGGGCCCCAATGAGCAATGGCTCTGTTGAACTCAGTCTCACCCGCACAGTGAGCCCCGGACCCCAGAGCACTCACCTCGAAAGAATGCAGAGACGCTGGCCTGTTCACTCTTACTGTCCAATCCTGGGAGGTTGCCCCATGTCTGTCCTGTTCTATCCAGACCACTTGATCTCTGCAAACGTGTCCCACCTATCTGAAAAATAACCCCAAGCAGTAAAGACTGGTTAGGCATCAGTCATCCTAATTATTCAGGAGGCTGAGACCTGGAGGATCACAGTTTGAGGCCAGCCCGGACAGAAAAGTCCAGGGGATTCCATCTCTAATTGACCGGTGAAATGCTGGACTGGAGGTGTGGCTCAAGTGGTAGAGCACCAACCATGAGCAAGAAATCCAAGTGAGAGTGTTTTGAGTTAAAGCCCCAGTAACTGAACAAAAAGGAAAGAAAGAAAGAAAACTAAAACCAGGGCCTGGGAAGGTGGCTCAGTGGTAGAGTGCTTGCCTTGCATGCATGAGGCCCTGGGTTCGATTCCTCAGCACCACATAAACAGAAAAAGCTGGAAGTGGTGCTGTGGCTCAAGTGGTAGAGTGCTAGCCTTGAGCTGAAGAGCTGAGGGACAGTGCCTAGGCCCAGAGTTCAGGCCCACGACCCACAAAAAGAAAAAGAAAAAGAAAACTAAAACCATACTACCCAGAAATTCTTTTTCTGTACATACACATTAAAGAACTGAAAGCAGTGATTGAAAACAGTTATTTGTACATTATGTTCTCAGCTGCTCTGGTCATAACAGCTCATGACAGTAGAAACAGCCCAAATGAATTGATTAAAAAAATAAATGTAGTTTTCTCAAGCAACGGAGTATTCATTTTTGAAAAGAGAGGGGTTGGAGGCATGGCTCAAGTGGCAGAGCACTAGCCAATGAGCCAAGTGTCAGGTACCAAGATCAAGTCCCCATCTTAGATCTAAAACAAAGAAAAGAAAATGAAAAAAAGAGGTGAATGTGCTGGATATGGGAACAGAAGTCTATAATCCCCGAAAATCAGGAGGCTGAGACAGGAAGATCTTTTTTTTTTTTTTTTGTCGGTCGTGGGGCTTGAACTCTGGGCCTGGGCGCTGTCCCTCAGCTCTTCAGCTCAAAGCGAGCGCTCTACCACTTGAGCTACAGCGCCACTTCCGGTTTTATGGTGGTTTATTGGAGATAAGAGTCTCACAGTCTCTCCTGCCCGGGCTGGCTTTGAACCTCGATCCTCAGATCTCAGCCTCCTGAGTAGCTTGGATTACAGGCGTGAGCCACCAGTGCCCGGCTGAGACAGGAAGATCTTGAGTTCAAGGGCAACCTGGGCTGCATCTTACGATCTTGTCTCAAAAAAAAAAAACAAAGACTGGGGCTGTTACCTCAGTGACAGAGTGCTTGTCTAGCATATGAAAGTCTATAGGTTGGATCCCCAGCACTGCAAAAAAAAATTAAAAAGCAATTCAAAGACGTGCTGCAATATACATGAATTTCGAAAATATTCTGGTAAGTAAAATAAGCCATTCACAAAAGGACACGTGCTTCGGGCTGATCCTTACTGGAGGTGTTTACAGAGTCGTTAGGTTCATATAGAGACAGCGAAATGGGCATTGCCAGGGGCTGGGGTGCAGGTTTAATGAGTATAGTATTCTTTTTTTTTTTTTTTTGGGTCCGGTCGTGGGGCTTGAACTCTGGGCCTGGGCACTGTCCCTCAGCTCTTCAGCTCAAGGCTAGTGCTCTACCACTTGAGCCACAGCGCCACTTCTGGCTTTTTTCTTTTTGCTTATGTGGTGCTGAGGAATCGAACCCAGGGCCTCATGCATGCAAGGCAAGCACTCTACCACTGATCCACCTTCCCAGCCCCAATGAGTATAGTATTCTGTCTGAGAAAATGAAAATGTTCTGGAAGCCAGGCATTGGTGTAATCCTCACACCTGTAATCCTAGTTACTCGGGAAGCTGAGATCTGTAAACCTAGTTACTCGGGAAGCTGAGATCTGAAGCTCAAGGTTCAAAGCCAGCCTGCACAGGAAAATCCATAAGACTATCATCTCCAATTCACCACCAAAAAAAGCCAGAAGGAGAGCTGTGGCTCAAGGGGTAGAGCATCAGCTTGGAGCAAAGAACTAAGGAACAGGACCCAGGCAAGTGAGTTCAAGCTCCAGTACACACACACACACACACACACACACACACACACACACACACAGTACTCAGCTACAACACCGTGTCTTGGAATCCTTCCATGACTAAAGGCAAAGACACGATAGAGTTCTCTCTGGGATATACAGGGAAACCTTCCAGGAATAAACGATGCGTGTCTATACACCTAGCATCTCCTAAAGAATGAGTCCACTTCTGGGCTTCATTCCAAGGAAATTATCAGGAACCAGCCAGGATGGACTGGCTTGAATTTCTTAAAAACAGCCAGTCAAGCCAAGTTTACTAGCAGAAGCAGTGCACTGCAAGTGTGGCCAGATACTTCCTTTTCATGAACAGAAGTCAGTGTGAATTGGCCTGTGTGGGTAAATTATCATGTCCATATTTGTGTGTGTGCTGTGGTGTCAATGATATCAGCGAATGATATCAGAATGAAGGGAGCAAAGATGGCGGGGGGGGGCTGCAGTTTAGCTCTAGAAAGAAGTCTGGCTACTTGTAAGTGTACAGCCCCCCCCGCCTTTAGGACTCCCCACTTGACACACTGTCAACCCTAAAATGAGTTCTACTGGTCAAAGGCCCATTTCTTTGCCATTGTGTCAGTTAGAAAGTCACTGAGCTGGGCTGAGAAGGTGGCTCAGTGGTAGAGTGCTTGTCTCGCATGCATGAGGCCCTGGGTTCGATTCCTCAGCACCACATAAACAGAAAAAGCTGGAAGTGGTGCTGTGGCTCAAGTGGTAGAGTGCTAGCCTTGAGCTGAAGAGCTGAGGGACAGTGCCCAGGCCCAAGTTCAGGCCCCACAACCGGTCAAAAAAAAAAAAGAAAGTCACTGAGCAGCAGCACCGGTGACTGAGACCTGTCATCCTAGTTACTCAGGAAGATGAGCTCTGAGGACCGGAGTTCAAGGCAGACAAATCCAAGAGACTCTTCTCTCTCATTAATCAGCAAAATGATGAAAGTGGAGACGTGGCTCACATGGTAGAGGGCTAGCCATGAGAACAAAAAGCCAAGCAAAGCTGGGTATTGATGGCTTACGCCTGTAGTTCTACCTACTCAGGAGGCTGAGATCTGAGGATCATGATTCAAAACCAGCTCAGGCAGGAAAGTCCATGAGATTTTTTTTTTTGTCGGTCCTGGGGCTTGAACTCTGGGCCTGGGCACTGTCCTGCAGCTCTTCAGCTCAAGGCTAGTACTCTACCACTTGAGCTACAGCGCCACTTCCAATTCCATGAGATTCTTATCTCCAATTAACCACCAAAAAACGAGAAGTGGTACTGTGACTCAATGGTAGAGAAGAGCCAGGGGGTAGCTCAAGCCCCATAACTGAAAAACAAACAACAAAGAAAAGAGGACACTTCTTTTTTAGACAATGTCACCTCCTTCCTAGCTTTACCCCAGTTTTTCCCCCTGGTCCCCATCCACAGGTTGTATAGTTCATTTTCAACATAGTGCCTAGTGAGACTCCCTTTTGTTTGCCAGTCCTGGGGCTTGAACTCAAGGCCTGGGTGCTGTCCCTGAGCTTCTTTTGCTCTAGGCTAGCATTCTATCACTTGAGCCACAGTGCCACTTCTGGCCTTTTCTGTGTATGTGGTACTGAGGAATGGAACCCAGGGCTTCATGCATGCTAGGCAAGCACTCTACCACTGAGCCTCAGTCCCAGCCCAGCCTCTTTCATGTAACAGAATTTTGTGTGATGGTCCTGGGTTTTGAACTCAGGGCCTTGGACTTGCTAAGCAGGCTTTCTATCACTTGAGTAATTCTCCCAGACCAAGTTTTTGCCCAGGTCACTGGAATCTGAGTCCTCCCATTTATACCTCCCATTGGGTGTAGCTGAGCTGAGCTGCCCAGCTATTAGCAGGGATAAGGTATGGATAACTTTTTTTTTTTTGGCCTGGATTGGCCTTGACCTGTTAACCTCCTAATCTTTAACTCCCAAGAAGCAGGGATTATAGGCATAAGCCACTGTGCCTGTTCATTATGGAACATGCTTTCAAGGTTTGTTTATGCCATAGCATGCTTCAATACTTCCTTCTTTCCCTAATTTTTAAATCTCTTTTTTGGCTGTATAATAGTCTATTGCAAGATATACTATATTTTGTTTATGCATTCATCATTTCATGGGCTTGTGAGTTGTTTCTACTTTGGGCTACTGTAAGTAATGCTGTTATGGAAATTCATGTGCAAGGTTTTGAGTGGACATATGTTTTCAGTTTATCTTGGGCATATCTATCTATAAGTAGATTGCTATGGCATGTGATTACTCTCTAAGTTTAGCTTTTTGAGGAACTATGACTAGTCATATTACAATAGCTAAATTTATCTACTCCTTACTTTCTACTCAGAATATACTCCTTTTTAAAAAAAAAAACTGTTTGTTAGTCATGGGACTTGAACTCAGGGCCTGCACTGTCCCTAAGATTTTTGCTCAATGCTAGAGCTCTACCACTTTGAGCCACAGTACCTTGTCCAGTTTTCTGGTGGTTAATTGGAGATAAGCGTCTCATGGACTTTTCTGCCCAGGCTGAGTTTGAGCTGTGATCCTCAGATCTCAGCCTCTTGAGTAGCTGGGATTACAGGCATGAGCCATCAATGCCTGGCTCGTTTTTTTCTTTTTTTTTTTTTTGTTTTCATTTATTGCTCAGGGTCTCGCTGTGTAGCCCAGGCTGGCCTAGAATGCTATATCCTCCTGTCTTAGCCTCCCAGGTGATGGATTATAGATATGAGCCACCACACCCAGCTCAGAACTCACCCTTTTGCAGTAGTGATGGTCTCCCTGACCATTAAGAACTGCCAGGCACCAGTGGCTCCCTCCTAGCTGCTCATGAGGCTGAGATCTGAGGATCCTGGTTCAAAACAGGAAAGTCTGTGAATATTCTTATTTCCAATTAACCAGCAACGTGCCAGAAGCAGAGCTGTGGCTCAAGTGGTAGAGTGCTAGCCTTGAGTGGAAGAGCTCAGGGACAGCGCCTGGGCCCTGAGGTCAAGCCCCAGGACCAACTAAAATTTTTTTA